ATAGAATCTCTAAAACAACTTGAACACCAATTATGTTTATCCAATTCGGCTTCCAAAACGGCTTACGGTCTTACGAGGATTTAATCCAAACAATCCCACTATGTTATAAGCAGAAGTGAGCTACAAATACCACACACAAACTCCACCCAACATCAACCGCATTCACCAACTTAAGTATAAGGCAAAATTGTCTATAACTCTCTTATGATTTCAAAATTCAGCATAAAAATCCCTCATTTACTTTAAAATTTCAATGGCGCCCTTTATACTTTAAAAAACGTTACATGAAACTCCTTTGTGGTTTCGAAACTCAGCGTAAATCCCTACTTTATTTTAAAAATTGCATGACACTTCTTCATGCTTTAAAAACTATTACATGAAACCTCCCGCCATGCAAAAAATATTATTAGAAAATCATTTTCTCATCAGATAAGGGAGTTTTCATGGCAATGGGATTTCATGCAACTTTTGTTAAAAGTATAAGAGGATGTCATGCAATTTTTAAAGTATAAAGAGATTTTATGCTAAATTTCAAAATCGCATGAGAATTATAAGCAATTTTGCCTAAATATAATGGTAACTCTTACCAAATGCAAGTCTTACTCCCTTCACAAAAGTGAGGTTGGAATGTTTCAACTTCTACTGATTTATACTTTGTTTCTGAACATTTATATGGGTAATAATCTTCTTCTACTCTTGTAACATCAACTCGGAATCTATCATCAAATTCTTTCACATGACACAGTAATCCATCATTGAATAAATTATGGTGTATTTGTTTGTGGGTTTGGGGTTTTGGATTTGAATTTATGAATAGTAAAAAATTGAATTTGAATAGATGTTTGATATAATATAAGATAAATAGATGTTGATGTAATGTGTTGAATGTAAGATAAATTTATAATATAATATCAAAAAATAAAAGTAATTGTTTGATTTGATATTTTTTAAAGAAAAAAAGAATCGGAATAGTAAAAATATATGTTAAAACTCATAAAAGAACACAATTTATTGTCTTAAAAAATATCACAACGGTTTCTAAAAATTCAACAATTATGAGCGTGAAGAAAAAAGAAATTAAAAAAAAAAATAATAGAAATCTTTCAATAGTTTGTTCACTTATATATAGGTTTCACCTTCTAAACAATCCCTCAAAAGCAAAAAATCATTTCCCTCTCGTCAAAGGAATAATTCAAGTAAAAATTACAAAGAAGTAAGTAGGTGTGTTTCACTCAAGATGAATTCCTAAGATTTCTCATGCATCTCTTTGTCTATGAAAAATATGAACAAAAAAGATCTAACGTACAAATGTGAAAGTTTGTGTATACATATATCACACAAATACACTCCGTCAATCAAATTTGATCTCTCAAGAGATGATGCACAGATGAGAAAAACGAGCAACATCTCAAACAAAATTTTTCAACGATCTCTATAACATTCACACTTACAAATGCAATTTTAACGTATTTCTACATCAACTTCTGTCATCCATGTCTTATTCTTTTTTACAAATCTTTTTTTTTCCTTTCATTTTTGTAATGAGCACGTCGTTTGTCTCAAGACAATATCTCAAATATGTCTCCTAAGAAATTGTTTTGTGGTGTGTGAAGTTTTGACCGTGTGGTTATGGGTTTAAAATTTCAATAATTCCGGGTTTTATCTGCTACACACGGTTTGTCGGATGTGACTTGCCTTATCGGGCTTAATTTGCAGATTATTAAATTCAATCAGAAATTTACACAAAACGCACTCGAAAAATAACAATTGCAAGTTTCCACGTCATATAAAAAAAATGTGGAACAATTTTTATTAATTGATTCAATACATGTTGAAAGTTTGCAGTTTTTCACAAGATTCAAGCAAAAGACACACAAGATGCACAAATAGTCTGATGAACCTACAAATGACAGATACAACAATCAAAACCAAAATACCAACAACATCTAATGTAACTAATAATCTAATATATATATATATATTCTCATCCCATATGTAATTTGCCCTAAATTTAATTATATAAGGTTAGTTAATTATATTTAAGGTATTCATATTAAAAATTTTATGTTTCTAAACCTCATGGTTTGCTTTTAGGTATTACCTGTCATGTATGGATCGTATAGTGTAACTTATCTTGTCGAGTCTAATTTGTAAATTATTTAAATTCGACCGAAAATTTACTCAAAACGCATTTGTCGAGTAATAGGTGAAGTTTCCTCACGTTAAAAAAAAAAAAAAAAAAAAAAAAAAAAAAAAAAAAAAAAAAAAAAAAAAAAACCGTAATCCATTGGTTTATCAATTTTAGTAAGAATAAAGGTCTTATTGGTATTTTGGGACAAAATAAATAGAAATGGAAATTTGGTGGATGTTTGCATCAGAATGGCATTGATGCCAATAAATGTTGTCATGGAAATCAACGTGTCCACTTTTATTTTTATATTTTATTTAATTTTTTTTTAAATAAAAAATATTTAATATAATATTTTAATCGAAACTATTGCATATAGATGTTGTAAGAGAAATCAATAATTTATTTATATTTTGTAATTTTCCTTTTAATACATTCTGTGATAATATTTATTTAAATAATATCTTTTGAATAAAAATAAAAATTGTATCACATTTTTTTTTCAAGAAATTATTAGAAAATTAGAGAAGAAAATACTCAAATATAGGGGTTTTTATTTCAATTTTAGCATTAAAATTTATATTTTAATATTTTATAAGATGATCGGGTTTTTTCGTCTTGTATTTTTATTTGAATTTTAAAATGATTTAGTATTTAGTAGATGCAATATTTAATAAAAAAATATATTATTTTTTTAATAACTATTATATTAAAATATTATTTAAATTAAAATTTTATATATATAAAAGAACAAAAAAAATTCAAGTGATTCAAAGAAAAAGGGTGTTACTATATATTGAAATAGTTGTTATATTTTAGAATATTTTAGCTAGAGTTATAATTTTCTAAGTGAAAATTATTATTTAAAATCAATTTTTTTATTTATTTCTAATGTACATTAATCTCATCGTTGTCAATAAAATATATTTTATTCATTCTAATTTTTTTTTTAGTAAAAATAATTTTACACTAATAGTTTAGTAATTTTTATTTAAATTACAAATATATCATTACACATATAATCATTTTATACATAAAGTTAGAGGACAAAAATATCAAAATTCTTACACACTTTTACTAAATAATAAAATATTATTATTTTTTAATCTATTACAAAACTACGAAATTACTTTCAAATGTGACCAAGGGAGTATTTATTTTTTATATAAAAACATTACATCTCAAAAAACAAAGATACTTTAAAAACTAAAAATGAACACGCGAATTGTCGTAGGTATTGTGTAATTAGTAAGTATTAAGAAGCATATTCAATGAAAATAATTATTTTCTTCGTCTCTTAATAATCTATCTAGTTTTTCATTTTTGTCGGTCTCGTAACAAAGTATCATTTTTTTAAGTAATTGTACTATATATCTAACATTACAAATACCCTTCTAATTTATAATATATTACACAAATGTCATTACCTTCATATCATACAATACAAACAAGGTTAGTTTAGTCTTTTTATTTTTATTTCTACTACATCTTAATATAATACTAATATTTATAAAATTCTGTGCAAAAAAACAAATAAATATATAGATATGAGAGAGAGTATAATTTAATAAAAATAATTATAGATTAAAATTAAGATGATTAAATAGTTTAATTAAAATTAAAAAAATAATTATGAATTTTAAAATATAATTAAAATGTATAATTATATTTTTAAAAAAGACAAATTATGTAAAACGAACGAAAAAATAAAAAGAATGAACAAATTAAATGGGACGGAGGAAATACTATATAAAAAATAATTTATTTTTAAAATACTATATTAAGATTTATTTATATTATACTCCCCCGTTCCACCACAATTGACACTATTTTCATTTATGTTTGTTCCGTAACAATTGACACATTTCTATTTTTGGTAAAATTTATTAAATCAAAATATATTTAACAAATATAAATCAACTTAATTAACTACATAAAATAAAACATTAGAAATGGCGTAGGACCCACTCAAAAATTCTTTATTTTTACCCCTCTCCTTAAAAATATAAATATTTTTATCTATATTTAAAACTACACATCTTTTATAAAATTGATTTATGTTAATTATAAATAAACAAAAATATTTTTTTATTTACTTGTATCATAGAAATTTTTTTAATCTACATAATGATATTCATACTGCATATATTTTTTTAATTGTTATATAATTTTAAAATATTTAAACATATGTTTTAATTTTTTTTAATTATATATTAAATATACTTTAAAACTATAAATATTACTCCTTCTGTCCTCAAACTAATATCTTATTTTTCTTTTTTAAACACATTTTTTACATTTTTACCCTTAATTCATTTATTACTTTTAATCTCTACCATACAATTAAAGACAAATTTGTCAATTCATAACAAAAAAAACAATCACCTAGAAAACAACCGTGCAAATATACTTTATGATAATAAAAATGAGATAAGGGAGTATTAATTATTAAAAAAATAATATCATAATATCATAACTAATTATTAATAACTAATTAAATATTCTCATTTTAAATATTGTGTCCCTAATAAAAAAAAGTTCAATTCCAATAGAACAGAAGAGTATTAAATTGACTAATTATTTTAATATAAAATTTCACTATTTACCATCTTAAATTCAACCGCCAAACCTACAAGTAACAGGGACGCTGTAGAAGGTGAGAAAACACGAGTATTGCTTGCATCACATGTGACTTCACATTATGCATTGTACGAAAATAAATAACACAACAACAACAATAACTAATAATAATAATAATAATAAATAAATAAATAAATAAAATGAGTAAGTGAGGCTGACCTACCAATGGGCGTCCCCATCTTCCTCAGAATGCCCACAAACTCACTCCTCGAAAAATGGGATTCCTCATAAAATATTCACAATGCGCTTTTCACTTCCTCACCAAAAAAGCTTCCCCCTTTTCCACCACTTTTTAGAGCGAGAGAGAAACTTAGGAGTGAGATACACACACACAGAGATATACCACAAAATCTTGCTGATAGTGATCATAATTATCATCATTATCATTCATAGATTTCCAGACCCAACCAAAAAAAAAAAAAGAAACCCTAAATCTTGCATAACACAATTATATACAACATATATAGATACAGACCAGACCAATACACACTCATACTGTATCTATATTTCTAGAGAGAGAAAGAGAGAGGGGTTTCTGAAAGCATGCCTTGTCGGCCATTAGAGCGAGAGAGCTTAAATTCATTGTTTCTTCCATCGATCCAGAAGATAATTTTATTTTATTTTATTTTTTGATTTTGTGTTTATCAGAAAAGAAAATCCCTTTCTGCTCTCTTAAGTGTCCAAATACCTTTTTCCATTTGTGCCTTTGAGCTGTTCCTTTGTTTCTGAAGCAACACAACACAGATTTCCACCCAATTAATAAAATATAAATAAAATAAAATAAATTACAATCACTTCTTGGGTTCATTGCATTTGATTTCGATTCCAAACCCCCTTTCTCTTTTCTCCCTTTTCTCAAATCTCACATGAAGATCGAAAAAGGGTTTTCAAGAACCTTTCTTGCCAGGTAAATCTTTAATTATTTTATCTTTATTTATTTATTTATCTTTGATGAATTTCCTTTTCGATTTCTCAACTTTTTTTTTTTTTTTTTTTCCTAATTGGATCAAATTCAGGTTTTTTATGCTCTAATTTGTGATCAGAAGCCACCAAAAGGGGGTTTGGATTTGGGTTTAGCTGAAATCAAGGAATATTTCATCTGTTTGTCCAAATTCGACAGTTTTAAGATAGTGACAGTAATGTCTATTTTGGTTGAGCTGTTGAGGAAAGCCATTGTTTGGGGATTTCTAGGGTTTTTGATGTTCGATTTTGCCTCTGAAGCTTTGACTGACGATGGAATTTCTCTCCTCCAGATGAAGAAATCCATTGTCGATCCTTTCGATTTTCTTGCCAATTGGAATCCAAACGACTCCACGCCTTGCTTCTGGACAGGTGTGAACTGTACCTCATCATCATCGTCTTCCTCAGCATCATCATCATCGTCTTCCTCAGCATCATCATCATCGTCTTCCTCAGCATCATCATCGTACAAATCGAAGAATCCATTTGTCTCGTCACTGAATTTGAGCTCCAAGAATCTCTCAGGCACAATCGATTCCTCAATCGGCAGATTGCCCCATCTCTCCTACCTCGACCTCTCCGACAACCGTTTCTCCGGCCGAATTCCGACGGAAATCGGCCAATGTTCGATGCTCACAACCATTAATTTATACGATAATCAGCTCGCCGGAGAAATCCCCGTCGAGCTCTGTAACCTCTCCCGCCTCGTGACCCTCAATGTATGTAATAATCAGCTCTCCGGTTCGATTCCGGCGGAGTTTGGTAAGCTGTCGTCGCTCGAACAATTCGTCGCCTATACGAACAACATCACCGGCCCATTGCCGCCGTCGTTCGGCAATCTGACGAACCTCCGGACATTCAGAGCAGGCCAGAATGCGATCTCCGGCAGCCTGCCGCCGGAGATCGGCCAATGCCGGAGCTTAGAAACGCTCGGCCTTGCGCAAAATGAGATCGCCGGAAACTTGCCGAAGGAATTAGGAATGCTTGTGAGATTAACCGATTTAATTCTTTGGGATAATCAGTTCTCCGGTACGATCCCGCCGGAGCTCGGGAACTGCTCGAGCCTTGAGACACTTGCATTGTATCAAAACAACCTCGTCGGAGCGATTCCGGCCGAGCTCGGAAACATTAAGTTCTTGAAGAGGCTGTATCTCTACCGGAATGGATTGAACGGAACGATTCCGCCGGAGATCGGAAACCTCTGTTTTTGCTTGGAAATCGATTTCTCCGAGAATTATCTCACCGGAGAAATCCCGACTGAATTGGCTCGAATTGAAGGCCTATTCTTGCTCTACTTGTTTCAGAACGAACTCGTCGGGATTATCCCAACGGAGCTAAGTACATTGCGGAACCTTACGAAGCTCGATTTGTCGATAAATCGGTTAACCGGGCCGATACCGTTTGGTTTTCAGTACCTTCCAAGGATGAGCCAATTGCAGCTCTTTAATAACGAATTGAGCGGGACGATACCCCCGAGTCTCGGGTTATATAGCCCTCTTTGGGTTGTCGATTTTTCCGACAATCATTTAACGGGTCGAATACCTCCGTATATATGTCGCCATTCGAATTTGATATTGCTCAATCTTGAGACGAATGCGCTGCACGGGAGCATTCCGTTTGGCGTTGTCAATTGCTCGTCGATGGTGCAGCTCCGGCTCAGCGGGAATAAGCTGACGGGGAACTTCCCGTCGGATGTTTGCCGATTGAGAAATCTCTCCGCCGTTGAACTGAGTCAAAACTTGTTCAGCGGGCCGATACCGCGAGAAATAGGGAACTGCCGGAAGCTGCAGAGGCTCGACGTTTCGGGGAATTATTTCACGTCGGAGCTTCCGAAGGAGATCGGCAATCTGTTGCAGCTTGTGGCTTTCAACGTGTCGTCAAACTTTTTTACGGGACGGATACCGCGGCAAATTCTCAACTGCAAGGCGCTACAACGGCTCGACCTTAGCCGTAACAATCTCGTCGATGCCATACCGAGCGAGTTAGGTTTCCTTTCGCTGCTCGAGCGGCTGATTTTATCGGAAAATAGATTCTCCGGCAACATTCCAGCGGCATTGGGGAGTTTGACTCATTTGACGGAGCTGCAGGTGGGCGGCAATCTGTTTTCCGGCGAGATACCGAAGGAGTTAGGGAATCTCGCCAGCCTGCAAATCGCGATGAATCTCAGCTACAACAATTTGTCGGGGAACATCCCGCCGGAGCTCGGGAATCTGATCTTGTTGGAGTACCTATTGATCAACAACAACCATTTGGTCGGCGAGATTCCGAGCACATTCGCGAACTTGTCGAGCCTTTTAGGCTGCAACTTCTCGTACAACGACTTGACGGGACCGTTGCCTTCGGCGCAGTTGTTCCAGAATATGAGTACAAGTAGCTTCGTCGGGAACAAGGGACTTTGCGGCCGACCTCTCGGAAACTGCACGGAATTGAATTCTTTCGACAAAAGTCCCCCAATGATCGGAGGATCTATGAATGCTCCGCAAGGGAAGATCGTAACGATTGTTGCCACGGTGATCGGTGGAGTTTCGCTTGTTCTCATTGTGTTCATTCTATATTTAATGAAGTGTCGCCCGGTCGACATGGTCGGATCATTGCAAGAAAAGGACGACTCGTCCGTTGATTCCGACATTTACTTCCCTCCGAAAGACGGGTTCACGTTCCAAGACCTTGTCGAGGCGACGAGCAATTTTCATGATGATTTTGTGATCGGGAGGGGGGCGGTTGGGACTGTTTACAAGGCCGTGTTGCAGTCGACGCAGATAATCGCTGTCAAGAAGCTTGCTTCGAACCGAGAAGGTAATAACATCGAGAACAGCTTTCGGGCCGAGATTCTGACGTTGGGAAAGATACGGCATCGTAACATTGTGAAGCTCTATGGCTTTTCGTATTATCAAGGCTCGAATCTTCTTTTGTACGAGTACATGGCGAGGGGCAGCTTGGGCGAATTGCTTCACGGCGCACCTTGCGATTTGGAGTGGGCGACGAGGTTCAAAATTGCTCTCGGAGCAGCCGAGGGGCTCGCTTATTTGCATCACGGCTGCCGGCCTAAGATCATTCACCGCGACATAAAGTCGAACAACATATTGCTTGATGAGAACTTCGAAGCTCATGTCGGAGATTTTGGTCTTGCGAAGGTGATCGACATGCCCCAATCCAAGTCGATGTCCGCTGTCGCCGGATCATACGGTTACATCGCACCCGGTGAGTATATTTCAATTTTAGCCACATTTATTGCTCTCATTGACGGGTTACATCGCACCCGGTGAGTATATTTCAATTTTAGCCACATTTATTGCTCTCATTAACGGTGAATGTTTAATTGTTTTTTTGGTTTCGGTATTTTCTAGTAAAAAATAGTTTCAGAATACGATGTTTTGAATAAAAAATAAAGCTAATTGTGACTCTTTTTTACGAGGGAAAGTACATTAATAAATATTTAGGAATAGTTTGACGTAATATAATGTTGTGTCATGTAGAAATATGTATTGTGCAGATTATATATTATATTGTATTGTATATATATTGTGGTATATAAAAATATATCGTGTATGGTTAGAATATGTATTTGAGATTGTATTATTATGTATTATCACATATGTGCTATCTATTTTGTTGATATGTGCTCATTGGGCTAATTTAACTCAATCAATATGAAACCTGAGCCGAATGAAATATTATATTAAATGATCATTTCATTTAAAAGTTTAATTGATTTGTGTTGTGCTGTAGAATATGCGTACACGATGAAGGTGACGGAAAAGTGCGACATCTATAGCTACGGCGTGGTCCTCCTAGAGCTACTCACCGGGAAAACTCCGGTGCAACCACTCGAACAAGGAGGCGATCTCGTGACATGGGTACGGAATTACATTCGAGACAATTCATTGTCGCACAAGATACTAGATAACCGTCTCGATTTGAAAAACGACACCACGGCTAGCCACATGATCACCGTGCTGAAAATCGCGCTTATGTGCACGAGCATGTCGCCGTTAGAACGGCCATCCATGCGCGAGGTCGTGCTGATGCTGCTCGAATCCAACGACCAAGAAGGCCTCGGAGTTTCGCCGTCCGACGACGACGACAATCGGAAAGATGATCCCTTGTGATCCAATGTATGTATGATTTTTCTAGCAGGGTTTATTAACTGATTAGCTTTTTGAAGTATGAAGCCTCACATTAGATCAACCTTACACTTGAGGAACCCTAGAAATTTATGTAAATTTTTCTAGAAAAAATATTGGTTATGTTTATACAGATAGATCTTATTATTGTAAATTTTGTCTTGTTAATATGTTTTCTAAATTTATATGATTTTTGTTTATTTTGAATTTCGTTTTAAAATTAAGCATGATCAGTTTGTTGCTAATATTTGAGTGTCGACCAAAGTAAAGCCAGATCACTAATCTTCTACCGAGTGTGTTTATTTTTTGGATTATGATATTTTATATATTTTAAATAGACTTTTTGAATTGTATAATATTAAAAATTAATAATACTTTTGGTTTTATGGAAGAAAATATTCTTTTAGTAAATTATATTTTTATGATAAACTAATTCAATATTTATTTTTATTGATTATGTATAAATTATCAATTTTTACAATATTCTTAATTATAATAAAAATAATAAGCAAAATAGGAAGAAAAAAAAATCTGTAGTTCTTTTAAAATGGAATGATACCTATAAAGATTATCAAAAAATATAATAGGCATACACATCAATACATCTATCATCCAAACTTATATCACCTTCGTCTGGCTTTAAAATCTTATTTAGCTTTTGCGTGCTGATATTTAAATATTAATTATTATATCAAAATATAGTATAAATTTAAAAAAATTATAAATATACTTTCATTAGTGTCGTATAATATTAATAGAATGACATTTGTAAAAAAAAATTATACAATTATAAGAATATTTTTAATGTTAAGTACACAAAACATAAATGTGACCAGAGACTAAAAAAATAGGTATTCAATTCGGATTTCAATGATTTTTTTTTTTTATTTTGAAAAGTTTGTTGAGATATTTTAGATTCAGTTTTAGATTTAGTAGATTTATATCTAGATTTGATCTTATTCATAGATTAGATTACTTAGATTTGAGTCTATCGAGTCTGTTTTGTATTGCCTATATATATAGACTCCTTATTTTGATGATTAATAAGACAATCTCATTATTTTCCCCCAAAATTTCTAACATGGTATCAGAGCTTATTTTTCTCATGCCGTAGATATAGCCTACCAACCCGTGTTTTTTCGGGTACATTCAACCTGGATTGTACCCGGATGTCTTGTGATTTTGAGAAGGTTTTGTGATTTTGAGATCATGCCTTCGCAAGTTATCTTTTTGCAAATCTGTCTCGTCTCGTCTCCAATCTGCCATTTGTCCACTGCTTGTCTGTTGCCTGTGTGCAATCTGAAATTTTCGCTGCTTATTTGTTGCCTGCGAGCAATCTGAAACGATCTGCCATATATCCGTTGTATGTCTGTTGCTGCGTGCGATCTATCATCTGTCGTTGTCTGTCTGTTGCTGCGTGCGATCTGCCATCAGTCATTGCATGTCTGTTGCTGCGTGCGATCTGTCATCTGTCGTTGCCTACATGCGATCTGCCATCTTTCGTTGCTTATTTGTTGCCATAAATCTGTCTATGATCTTCCATCTGTCCGTTGTTTGTCTGGTGCCTGCGTGCGATCTGATCTGTCCGATGTTTGCGATTTGTCTGTTTTCGGCTCCGGTGGAGTCATGTCGTTTTCGGCTTCAGTGGAGTCCTGTCGTTTTAGGCTCCGGTGGAGTCATCTCGTTTTCGCCTCCGATGGAGTTATGTGGTTTTTGGCTCCGGTGGAGTCATGTGATTTTCGACTCAAGTAGAGTCATCTCGTTTTCGGCTCCGGTGGAGTCATCTCGTTTTCGACGGCTTTGGTAGAGTCATGTCGTTTTCGGCTCCGGTGGAGTCATCTCGTTTTAGGCTTCGGTGAAGTTCTGTCGTTTTCGGCTCCGGTGGAGTCATGTCATTTTCGGCTCCGGTGGAGTCATCTCATTTTCGGCTTGTTTTCGGCTCCGGTGGAGAGTCATCTCGTGTTCGGCTTCGGTGGAGTCATGTCGTTTTCGGCTCAAGTGGAGTCATTGTTTTCGGCTTCGGTGGAGTCATCTCGTTTTTTGCTCCGGTGGAGAGTCATCTCGTTTTCGACTCCGGTGGAGAGTCATCTCGTTTTTTGCTCCGGTGGGTGGAGAGTCGACTGCTAATTTTATTTATGTTTTCTTTTTGCATTTATATTCAAATTTCTCATCAAACTAAAGTTTGTTTCTGTTATACCACTTGAGTTTGAGGGGGAATGTTGAGATATTTTAGATATTTAGTTTTAGATTTAGTAGATTTATATCTAGATTTGATCTTATTCGTAGATTAGATTACTTAGATTTGAGTCTATCGAGTCTGTTTTGTATTGCCTATATATAGACTCCTTATTTTTGATGATTAATAAGACAATCTCATTGTTTTCCCCCAAAATTTCTAACAAAGTATATGGATTTCTTTAGATTTAGAAAATCCACGAGTCTATACTGATGAAAAGAGATTTTATTCTATGCAAAATTTTCATAATTTTCCATTAAAATTTTGAATTGTTGAATACCTCAAAATTTTTAAAAAACTTTTAAAAATGTCGATTGAATATCTCCGAATTTCAAAAAAACTTTAAAAATCTTGATTGAATCCATCTATATTTTAAAAGTCCAATAAAATTCCACAGAATCTGAATTGAATATACCAGTAAGAGAGTATTAAAATAAAATTATTGTAAAAGAATTTATAAAAATAGTATTTTTTATTTTAAAAACAATATTGACAAAAAAAAAATAATAAAAAAAAACAACATAAATATATTTTATACACTTACAAAAATCAACATATAAAAACAGATGCATAAAAGTAAAATAAAAATAAAATAAATGAAGAAACCCAAAATCTTTAGAAATATATCCCTAAACCTGCACCCCTACCCCGAGCGTTACTCCATTTCCCGTCTTCTCCACGAAGTCGTCGATCGCCGTTACTGATTCGTCTCTCACCGACATTCAAGTCTTCTCCTATACTTTGGCTTCACGATTAGTTCTTCGACCTTCGTTATCTTTTCCTCTCGACCTTCGCCGTCATCGTAACGGACCAGGTCGTCGTCTTGACGGTCTTCTTCTTCTACAGTTTCACGGGGTCTTTGTAAGTTAATTCCTTCTACTAATTTTGCTTGGTCGGAGGCTTTGTATGTATGTCTTCCATCAACATATTAGGATTAATTAAATTGTTAGTAAATAACCTAAATATTTTCGATTAGAGCAGTTGCCAAATATTTGCTCGATTTGGTTTATAAATATGTGAGAATTCATATTATTTAAGCAGTATAATATAATCATGTTATTGCTATTGTTAAATTCGAAATATTAGGCTGAATTTGCGTAATTGTTTTTGTAGTGCAAAAAGCTAGTGGAACTGTGTTTTGGTTTTGATTTGAGTTTGAGATATTGATGTTGAGCTTGAGATTCAGAAAATTTTGTACTCGCAAAAGACAAAAATGTCTCTACGAGGAATATTTATATAATATATAGTAAGTTGTAAGAATATTTATTACGTTAGACAAATAGAATAATTACTAAATTAGGAAATTGTATATTTTCATGGGACACACATGGTATCCTTCTTATCGGATGAGGGAGTATGTTGCGAAAAATGGGTTAGCCTTACACGATCGGCGAAATATCGTACCCAATTAATACCGAAAAAAATTTCCAGGTAATTGGAGGAGACACGAGGCTCACTTAAAACCCAATTTCTTTAGACCTTTTATAGTCTTTTGACAGAATTTCCCCGGCAAAATTAAAGCACAATAAATAACCGCAAAATAACCAACACACCAGAGCAAAATAAAGAACACAAAATTTAACGAGGTTCGGCAAAATTATGCCTACATCCTCGGACCCAACCAAACTTATATTATGAGAGAATATAAGAAATACAACACAATTAGAATACGAGGATTGTGCTGCGGGATAAATCAAACAACAAGGGCAGGGGGTGAATTTATAGGAAAATCCACCCCCCCACCCAAATCCACAACCGATGTGGGATTTGGAATAGCCAACTATTGTTGACTTTTTACAAATCTCCACCTTTGGCAATTTTCAAATCCCATCCAAAATATCTTCTCCAAAATTCTCCTATCATACAGATTGGTCGGGCCTCCAAATGCTTCAAACTCTTAGAACATTTATCAAGTTCAAACAATGTTCAAACTTGATACACGTTACACCTTTTGTCAACATATCTGCAGGATTCTCAGTGGTCTTAATCTTTTGCACGTAGACTCCACCTTCTTCAATTATTTCCTGCACAAAATGGTACCGTACATCTATATGCTTTGTTCTAGCATGATATACTTGGTTCTTTGCTAAGTGAATAGCACTTTGGCTATCACAAAACACTGTAACATATTTTTGACAGACTCCCAAGTCATCCACTAATCCTTGTAACCAGATTGCCTCCTTAACAGCCTCAGTGATGGCCATGTATTCTGCCTATGTTGTTGATAGAGCGACGGTAGACTGTAAGGTTGACTTCCAACTAACTGGTGCATTTGCAAGAGTGAATACATAACCGGTAGTTGATTGTCGTTTATCTAGTTCTCCTGCATAGTCTGAATCGAAGTACCCAACTATATATTGACCAATATCGTTACTTCATTTAAACATCAATCCAATATCTAAGGTTTTCAGAATATACCTTAGAATCCTTTTCACGGCTTGCCAATGTTCTTTGTCTGGATCATGCATATACCTGCTCACAATCCCAACTGCATGTGAAATGTCAGGCCTCGTACACACCATCGCATACATCAAGCTACCAACCGCATTTGAATAAGGAACCTTTGACATGTAATCACGTTCCTCTTTCGTTTTCGGACACTGTGAAGCGCTAAGTTTGAAATGAGAAACAGGTGGTGTACTCACAGGTTTGGTTTTGTCAGTCATGCCAAATCGATGTAGTACTTTATTCAAATATTGCTTCTGGTTCAAGCACAATGTGCCTCTCTTTCTGTCTCTTGTTATTTTCATGCCAAGAATCTTCTTTGCTTCACCAAGATCTTTCATTTCGAACTCTTTGCTGAGTTGGGACTTCAATCTGCTTATCTCTCCTCTATTTTTCGAAGCAATTAACATATCATCGACATAGAGATGAAGATAAATGAAAGATCTATCATTTAGCTTACGAAAATACACACAATGATCGAAGTTGCTTCTGGTGTACTTCTGGCCGGTCATGAATTGATCAAATCGTCTGTACCACTGTCTTAGAGATTGTTTCAATCCATACAGCGATTTGTTCAACTTGCATACCCAATCTTCTTTCCCAACAACTTTAAATCCTTTGGGTTGATTCATGTAGATTTCCTCCTCCAAGTCACCGTGTAAGAACGCCGTCTTTACATCCATTTGAACTAGTTCCAAATCGTACTGCGCTTCCAAAGCCAACAAAATACGAATAGAGGAATGTTTTACAACAGGAGAAAATACCTCATTGTAATCAATTCCTTCCTTTTGAGCATAGCCTTTGGCTACCAATCTTGCCTTGTAGCGGACGTCATTACAATTGGGAAATCCTTCTTTCTTAGTATAGACCCATTTGCAACCAATTGCCTTCTTTACCTTCGGTAGCTCAGCTAGCTTCCATGTGTGATTTGCTTCAAGAAAATGCATTTCCTCGTCCATGGCTTTCTTCCACTTTTCTTTTTCAGAACAATGCACTGCATCAAGAAAAGTTTGTGGTATACCTTCTTCAATAACAGGAAGTGCATAGGCCACCATACTTTGGAATTGAGCAGGTTTCTGAATTTTTCTTCTTGGCCTCCTAACTGCAATTGGTAAATTTTGTTGTTGTTGAGATTCTTGGGTTAAAACCTCTCTTTCTCCGGGCTCTTCTTCGGTACAAGAACCATCATCGTCAGTTGGTTGATCATCTACAAGTTTAGTCATAGATGTCTGGAACTCCACCTCCTTGGAAGAACACTCCACCTGCTAGGGGTATTCTCTATCTGCTGCTTGGTTATTTTTTTCAACATTTCTGATTCGTTGAAAGTAACATCCCTGCTAAAGATCATTTTTTTCATCTCCGGGCACCATAAGCATTATCCTTTTACTCCAGATGATATCTCTATGAAGATAGCTTTTCTCGCCCTTGGATCTAGTTTTGATTCTCTTACGTGATAATATGCAATAGATCCAAACATACGTAAAGAATCATAATCATTAGCAGATTTGCCAAACCATACCTCCAAAGGTGTCTTCCCTTTAAGCGCAGCTGATGGTAGTCGATTGATTAGGTGGCTTGCATATGTGAACGCTTCAGCCCGGAATTGTTTGCCCAAATTAGCATTGTACATTATGCACCGGACTTTCTCTAGCAAAGTTTGATTCATGCGCTCGGCCACTCCATTTTGTTGTGGTGTATCCCGAACTGTGAAATGTCGGGAGATTTCTTCATTTTTGCAAATATCGAAAAAAGGGTCATTTCGATATTCCGTACCATTGTCAGATCGAAGCACTTTAATTTTCCTCCCGGTCTGGTTCTCCATCGTTCTCTTCCAATCGAGGAATTTGTTGAAAGCTTCGTCTTTAGTTCGCATTGGATATACCCATATTCTCCTCGAAAAATCATCAACAAATGTTATAAAATAATGGTTTCCTCCCAAAGAAGCTGTTTTGGTTGGTCCCCACACGTCTGAGTGAATGTAATCCATAATGCCTTTAGTGCTATAGATTGTTGTTCCAAACTTCACCCGCGATTGCTTTCCCAGAACACAGTGCTCATAAAAATCAAGTTGGCAAGTCTTTGTACCCTTTAATATTCCTTGCTTTGCCAGAGTCTGCAAGGATTTTTCATCTGCATGCCCAAGTCTCATATGCCTGAGCTTGGTCATCTCATCATCTTTATCTAATGCTGATACTGCTGCTGCTACGTCAACCACTGTGTTGCCCTGAGAGTGATACAGGTTATTTTTTCTTTTACCTTTCATGACGACAAGTGCTCCTGAGATCATTTTAAGAATCTTATTCTGAATGCTGATAGAATGGCCTTTATATTCCAAGACTCCCACTGATATAAGGTTTTTGGCGAATTTCGGTATGTACCGAACCTCTGTCAGCACATTAATTATTCCATCGTGGTTCTTCAGATAGATTGAACCAACTCCAGTTATCTGGCAAGGTTGGTTGTCAGCTAGATAGACAACTCCGACGTCAATATTTTCAAAATTGACAAACCACTCCTTCTTAGAACACATGTGGAATGAACATCCTGAGTCCAGCAACCAGTCGTCACTGCAGGTCACCGATGAGGCATAGGCTAATAAATAATCTGATTCATCATTATCAGCAACACATGCTTCAACTACTGCTTTCCCCTTTTTCTTTTGTAGCTTTGGACAGTCTTTCTTCTAGTGTCATTTCTAATGGCAAAAGACACATTCATCTTTTGCTACTCTGCCTCTTGACTGGGATCTGCCTCTTCTCGTCGGCTTGTATTTTTTGTTACGACCCCGGGCATAGTGGTCTTCACCAATCGAAGTGTTTTAACTTATTCTTTTTCCTGATCTCGTTAGAATACAAAGCAGTAGTAACTTCTTTAAAGGAAATTGTTTATTTCCCAGTCAGCATTCTAACAATTATATGTTCATATTCATCAGGAAGTGATGCTAGCAGTATCAGCACCTTATCAATATCATTTATCTTCTCGTCCAGATTCAGCAAATCAGTAACTAGAGAATCAAATCTAGTTATGTGTTCGTTCATGGTGGTACCTGACAAATACTGGAAGCGATATAACTTCGTCTTCATGTAGAGCTTATTTTATGTGCTCTTTTTCATGAATTTTTCCTCCAATTCGTTCCATAATTTGTGCGTCATCGTCTCTCTCATAAATGGATACTTCTGCTCCTTGAAGAGACATAGCTGGATTGTACCACAGGCCAGGCGGTTGATTCTCGTCCAGTCTTTATCATCAACATCCTCCGGTTTGTTCTCTGCGAGTGCTCCGTCCAGGTCTTGTTGGAAAAAGATGTCCAACACCTCGCATTGCCACATACCAAAATTATTGGTACCGTCGAATTTTTCGACGTCGAATTTGGCATTCGTGACTATCGTTCTTGATGACGACGTCACCAACGACTTTGAATCTGAAGTTGATTTTTCACCGAATTTTTCCGTCATTCCTGCTCCAGAGTTTGATTAACAAAAAGAAATTACACAATAAAGGCAGCTTAACCGAGACGCTTTTCTGATGTGGAAGATCAGATTAACTGCGACCATAGAGCATACTAAGCAACCAAGGCTCTGATACCAATTGTTGCGAAAAACGGGTTAGCCCTACACGATCGGTGAAATATCGTACCCAATTAATACCGAAGAAAATTTCCAGGTAATTGGAGGAGACACGAGACTCACTTAAAACCCAATTTCCTTAGACCTTTTATAGTCTTTTGACAGAATTTCCCCGGCAAAATTAAAGCACAATAAATAACCGCAAAATAACCAACACACCAAAGCAAAATAAAGAACACAAAATTTAACGAGGTTCGGCAAAATTATGTCTACCTCCTCGGACCCCAACCAAACTTATATTATGATAGAAAATAAGAAATACAACACAATTAGAAAACGAGGATTGTACTACGGGATAAATCAAACAACAAGGGCAGGGGTTGAATTTATAGGAAATCCAACCCCCAACCCAAACCCACAACCGATGTGGGATTTGGAATAGCCAACTATTGTTGACTTTTTACAGAGTATTTTTATTATAACTGTAGTGACTGAACATTGTAAAATTGTGTTTTAAATTAAAAAAGAAAAAAAACAAAAAAAAAAAAAATGCTTGGAGGTTTAAGTTTAGTTCATGGATTAGTGTGAATGTGTTTCTTGCAATTTAATGTCATACATGGTAGCCACTCTTGCTTAGACAAAGAGCTTTGGAGTTTTGAAAGTTTTTCAGAAAAATAAAAAAAATTAGTATTTTATGATTTATGAAAGAAAAAGTAAATTCGATACGATGTTTTTGAAAATGTTATTGTAGATTAATAGTGCCAAAAGTTCTAAAACAGTCCATGTTGCAATTAATAAGGGCTAGCCGCTAGGCCGAGAGGTTTCACGGGCAGCAATCAAAATCAAAACTCAGAGGGGAGTATATCTCTCTCAGGAAGAAGGAGAAAGGCATGGATTCTGACCTGAATTACAAGGGCGAAAGTGAAGAAAAAACTTCAGAAAAAGATACGCAGGCAAGCAAGGTTTGCAAACGTTGCAAAACGTCGTATACAGTGTCTTCCAACTCCTCCACGTCTTGCCGCTTTCATCCTTCAATCTTTGTCTGCCGCCGACATGACGATCAGAAGAGGTACTATGAGCTAGGACAGGATGATCCTCCATACGCCGCCAAGTTCTATGACTGCTGCGGAGCAGAGGATGTGGTAGCGCCTGGCTGCACTACCAGTTCTCATATTTCATACGATGATGAGTGACAAGGTAATTCTTTTACCCTTCTTTGATGTATTTACATGCCCCCGATTCTCATGGAATATATAAAGTTCATGGATGGTCCCTTATCGATGCCTTCTGGTTTTGCTCGACCCAGTAAGCAGATTTTCTTGATGGAAATTTAGATTATATTTATACGGCTTTAAAATTGGGGTGTCTCGCACTGCAAATATGATTAGAAACTGTACTTGTTCGATCACATTTGTTTTGCAATGCATTCTCTTGGATTTGGTTTTAAAACAAAAAAAAAATGTTTGTTCCCGCCATTTCAGCTCTGGGCTAGATCCATTTTGATCTTTGTTCTTTCAAAAAAATTAAAAGCATTTATCATGCACTTATGATTGAATTATAATAATTCATATTATTTTGAATATTTTCTTGCTCTAGAGAGTGATTGGTGGAACGCAAAGATTAAATAGTTGACGAAAAAGGGCGAAGAAAGAAATAGTTGTGATTGAAGAGTTTTGAATTTGAATAGTTATTTGATGCGATGTTTTGTAGGGGTTTAACTTGATTTTTTATAAAGAAAAAAATTAGTGAATAGTAAAAAAACTTTAAAAGAAACCCAACCAATTATGAAGTTGCTTCAGAACTTCATAAAAGACGAAAGTCTTTTTAAGTTAAAAAATAGGCGCAAAATTGTTAATCTAGGAGTTCTGAAACCACTTTGAGTTCTATTTAAAGAGCCTGAAGTTGTGACTATAGCTCAATTAGGTAAATGTTCTAAGTGTGCTATTCCAAATATCCCCAAAAGAACACACATTAAGGTTTATTTTTTTTGTGTTTATGACGTGTAGCTTCAACTGATATGGTTAAGCTGAAGACGCTGTTTATATGAGAAATATAATATGGTGGACACTAATAGTGTCGAAACTGCAAGTCGAAGAGTGATAAAACTAAGTGTTGGAGAAAAGACTGAAGCAGAAGCGTCGCGGATTCCACATCATAAAATTTTCTTGAAGATAAAAATGGAATTTCTGCCGGGATAGGCTACTCTAATGTTGGAAATTTCGATTTATCTGATGTGGCGATGGAGACGGCGTATCCTCGTACTCAGTGTGATAGTTTGGTTAATCTCGATGGTACTATTTCTTTTCGTAATATAGATATGTTTGCCGATGTTTTTGTGGATCCATTTGTTGATATGTATCTGATATGATTGTCAAGTGTTAAAAATCCTCGGTAAAATGTGGGTTACTGATATTCTATTTCTATCTTATTTTCGGTTTAAGTTGTACGGTTGATCCCCAATTATGTATTGAATGTCTCATCAACTTGGTGCCGGTGCAAGTTCTTGAGCTTAATGTCTACGGTTTTATCCTAATGATGGGGGCATTTTTATATGCTTAATGTCCATAGTTTTATTCCAATGATGAGGGCAGGGCATACGGAATTTATTTGGAGTGTGTTTGTTTGGGAAATTCTACTTAAAAAATTTATTATTCATCTAAATTTTTTTACCCAAAAATATAAAATTATAACACTTTTTTTTTATATTCTTTATATTATATTAAAAATTAATTTTATATTAAAAATACTACATCAATTTTAAGCAAATTTGGAAAAGGTTTTGGGAGAACATGAGGACCCAAAAAAAATAATTTAATATAATGTGGGCCGATGGCCCGAGTATAATGTATTAAACAAATAAGAACAGATACTATATTTTACAAGAGGCCGAGATCAAGTGTAGGTGCAATTTTACTTATACACGTGACAGTTATGGTACTAACCATGTTTTATTGGAGATTTTATTTATTTATTTATTTATTTATGATGCGGGAATTGTATTTGTTACTTTTCGAATGCAATTTGGGTCAATTGGTAAGCGAACTATATGCTGTAAATAAGATTTGAAAGTATCCGAGATTTGAAATTATGATCTCACTCTCACAAATTTACCTAAGGATCATCGGGTCAACGAATTTTAATTATGATATTATACATGAGATGGAAAAGCCAAAAAGGGGAGTGATAAGTAAACAAAAGCGTGTCACGTTTGTATTTTCTTTACATTTTGATTTTACTTGTCTTTTAAATAAAGTAATAATGAGATGTAATATTTTATATAAAAAATAAATATATTTTTATCATTAATAAGCAAAAGTAAACAATAAATAAAAAAAGCCGGAAAAATCGCAAAAAGAATAGAGAAGTGGACCAATTCTTACAGAATTTTTCTTGTGCCGGCATGAAGCATAACTTCAATAAATATATCTATATATATATATAATTAAAAATTTTATAAATTACTAATTGTGCCATTACAAAATTCTACCATATCAAGGATGTTTGGCAATTAGCTGACAGCGATTAGCCGTTAGCTGATTCGATTAGTTGTTAGTTGTTGGCTGATTTGATTAGCTGGTTTGACTAGTTGATTGGATTAGCTGTTTATATTAAAGTGTTTGGTAAAATAGTGGTTTATATTAATTGTTTATACGTAAGATGACCATTAATGACATTTTATATTTTATTTTCAAAATATTTAGTTAGTTTTTCGGTGGGTAGACTTAAAAAATTTATTATTAATTTTTAAAAAAATTTTATTAAGATATTTATTTTTATTATTTTAAAAATATTTTGTAAAGAATTAATGCAAGCTTATTGAATTATATATTTTTTTTTCATTAGAAATAGTATAAATATAAATGAATAAAAATTATTAGTATATGTATTTTTATTAATTTAATTTAGTTAATATGTATTTACATTAAAATTTATAGTTTTAAATAAATATATTCATTTTAATAAAAATATTATGTGATATAAAATACTATATAAATTAATTAATAATATTAATATTTTTATAGTACATGTATTCTAAAAAAATTTAAACAAATTTATATATAAAATAATTGACATATAAAAAAAATAATTATTTTAAATTTATAAACATGAATTTATTAGAAGAAAATATATTCAAAGAATTAATAAATAGTGTAATAAAAAATTATTAATATATGTTAAAGAATTAATTAATTTTAAGGACAAATAAAGAATAAAAAAATTTAATTGAAAAAACTAATATGAAACGCTGGGTATACAGCTTTCAAAATTAGTTTTTTAGATTCAATAAGCTAATTGAAAATGCTAATTTACCGAACAACAAAATTGAAAATGCTAATTTACCGAACAACAAAATTAGTTGATTTACTGGTCAAACAGCAAAAAACTCTTCAATAAGTTAAAAGCTCTTGAAAAAGTTATTTACCGAACACGGATTTGGTGCCAAACTTATCTATTCTGGATATTTTAATTTATTTTTTTTATTATTATAATATTTCTAATAAAATATATATGTATAAATTTTATATACGCTACTTTCGTCCTATTTTGTTTGATACTTTTGTTTTTGGTACAATATTTTAAGTAGCATAATTTTTATAGGTTGTTTTATTTATTTATTTATTTAAAAATTTTAATATATATATATATATATATGCTACATTTGTTTCATCTTATTTTATACTTTTGCTTTTGGTGTAATGTTTTAGACAATTCCCTCTTCCTCCTAATTCAAAGAATCATTTTTACTATTTTTGTCTGTTTCACTTTCTATTTTTAAAAAAAATAATCATACACTATTATCAAAATACTCTTAATTTTTGCTTAAATTACAAATATACCGTTACACATACAATTACCTTATATTTAAAGTCAAATGACAAAAATATCAAGACTTTTTACACACTTTTACTAACTAATGAAATACTACTATTATTTTTTAATTTACTACAAAACTTCAAAAGCCCAATTTGGATTGAGACGGAGAGAATTATTTTAATTATTTATCATACAATTTCATGTACCTAACATACAATTCAAAAACATAAAACAAACACAAATATACATATAAACCAAGGAATAAGTTTTGAAATGTTTCATTAGTTCATCTAATATTTAAATTGAAGAAGATCGTCACCATCATCTAGAAAAGGAGAATAAAAAATCAGTTTAATAATATATATATATATATATATATACACATAGATATAAATAAATTATTGTGACATTTAATAATAAGTTAGTCCATTTCGAATACTAAAAGAAATTATCACACTAGCTCACTGAGGCAATTGAAGTCAATTTTCTGTTTAGTAAAATTATATAAATTTTCTTTTAATATAAAATTGCTTCTAATTTACGTATGGTTTGAAAATTTTGTACAATTTCTTTTTTACAGTTTAAGAATTGCATGCAACCACATATATATTACATTTAAAAAAAAAAAAACATTGCATAAAATTATTCAAACATCTGAACTTAATGAATTGATAAAGAATGTACTAATTGTTTGAGCACTACATTTTGAGATTTTGTGCACTATTTTTTAAAATACAATTGAATGTCAGTAGTTTCTAAATCAGATGAAGAAATTATATCGGGTTTGTTTGTTTGTTTAGTATTTTGATTTGAGGTATTTTATTTAATGTGATGTGTGAAGAATTGTATCGATAATATAAAAAATAATATTTTATATAAATGATAATTTTTTTTGAAAAGATAATATATATATATATATTATATTGAGATTCATGTCGAAAAAAAAAAAAAAAGGGTAAAAAAAATCATAGATTTTTTAAATTACAAGTAAATTAATTATGTCGAATTCTTATATCTCCATAATCTTAAAAGTTTTTGGCCTGCAACTCTAAGACTTTTTCTAAAGGTGCAATATTTACAAATTGATCAAGGTCGTGACATCATAGCATATGGAATTTAAAAAATTTTACAAAATTAAAATAATAATAAATCAAAATAAAATAAAATAAATCAATTTATTGAGTTGCCAAAGTTGAACCTTGAGGAAAAAAATAAATTAAAAAGAATAATGGTATTGATGGAATATTGAACTTCAATTTCTCCTATAAATTGGATCTTCACTTCCTTCACTTCTCACAACTCCTTCAAAATCAAGATTTGCTAAAAAAAAACAAAAAGCCATGGCCATAAAAGAACACACCTACGAAGTCAAACTCGGAGTCGCGGCCAAGAGAATCTTCAAGGCCGTGACGTCCGAGTCCTACAACATCATACCGAAAGCGAATGCACATGTCAAGAACGTCGACATACTTCAAGGCGACGGCGGGGTTGGATCCATTCGACAAGTGAATTTCCATGATGGTAAGAATGTGAATTGATGAAAGTGAAATAATGTAATTTTAGGTTCGTTCACCCCACAATTATAAATTCAGACACACTTATTGAATAGTAGCATTTTTTATATTTTAAAAAATATTTAATTACATATATTATTATATAAAAATTTACACACCCCTATATACACATTTATGTGTAGTAAATTAGGATGTGTTTTTCTTAAAATGTAAAAATAATTATTAAATAAGATATTATATAATTATGAGTTATATATGACATAAAATTTTAATTATAAATAAAAATACTTTGTAAAATATTCAATCTAAATTTTATTATGCAATATCTATTTTAATAGAACTTTATGTATATATACAAGGATTTTATTTATTAATATATTTTATTAACATAAAATATAGAAAATAAACTAACATATAATAGCAATTTATGAAATATATATGTATTTTTTAGAGTCGATTGACTTAAATTATTAAGATTGAGTAGATTTTAATATAATACATTGCAAGATAAATCATTCAACCAAATTACGGGCTTTGTTTTAGAGTTTAATTTTTCTTTATTATACAATCATCGTAACTCATTATAAAAATATATTATTTCTTCTTGTAAAATATTATTCTATTGGAACTCCCATCCAAAATAAAAATATTAAATAAAATCCTAAGTAAACACACTAAAGTTAAAGCTACCCTTGTCTACAATTGCAATTTTACTACATACTTGTAATACTCTTATATCAAATTTTTGTGAAGATAGAAAAATAATGCTCAAACTTGCTAAAAAAATAAAATTGTCGACAGGTTTTTATATAAAAAATCGGATTGAAACAATCGATACTGAGAATAAAATCAACAAGTTTGCAATCATCGAAGGAGGAGGCCTTGGGGACAAGTTCGACTTGATTGTCCACACACACAAGTTCGAGGATTCAAGTGATGGGGGTTGTGTTGTCAAAATAGTCGTTGAGTACCACTCGAAGGGAGATGCCGAAGTGACTCAAGAAGACATTAAAGATGAAGACCCGAAGTTCTTAAAAATCATTGAGAAATACCTCATTGCCAACCCCGAAGCTTGTGCATGATGATTACGATATATATCATCAATTCTCAACTTTAAAGAATTTATCGACCTCGTTCGTGTGTGTCAAATAAGAGAGACTCTTGGTCGTTGTTTGTGTTCTTATGAATTAAGGGTCTTTCCTAAGAAGCTTGTAAGTTTTAAGTTTCGATTTTCATGGTTTGTCTTTGAGTGAATGATAATTTTCTTTTTAATAAGGTGAGAATCCGTAACTACTTTACTAATATATATACACATCACATATATTTGTTTTCATAATATGGAAATTCGTAATGACTAATTTTTTAAAACTACATTAAGTAAACCCTTGGGTCGAGCTCAATAACCAGAGCAAACCACATTAGTCAGGAAAGAGATACTTTATCCGTTCCAAATAAGGTGCAACATTTGATTCGCACATAATTTTAGGTAAGTAGTATTAAGTAGGATAATTTAGAAATTAGATGATACGATGGTGAGATAAATGTATATTTTATTTTATTATTTTTATTTGGATGATGTCATGGGATAAAATATAGAGCAGAGATTAAATATAATTAATTATTTCATATTTTCAAAATATTGCAGATATTTGAGATGTATTATAAAATAAATATTGTAGAGTATTTGAAATGGAGAGAATACTAATCAAAGATTGTGTGACAAACTATGAGTTCATGAAATTGGCTTCATGGATTGAGTTCACATATATATAACCAAGGTCAATATTCCCAATTGTGATAAATCTAATTAATTTTATTTTTTTATGTGTATGATAGTGTGTTTCAACTTATTCAAAATAAATGATAATATTTTAATTAAAGTGAGTAGTTAAAATAGTGTAAAGATAATTTTGCCTTTATTTTTTTTTGGTAAAAAATAAATGATATGATGATAAAGTAAGAGTATTTATATATAATAGTGGAATTATAATTACTAAAAAATGAAATATAAACGATAACACGAGACGGGCGAAAATGAAAAAATGTATAAGGCAAGAAATGAGAATACAATATAGCACACATTCACATAATATATATAACATATATTTTACACTATCATAAAAAGTCAACAATTTAATACAAAATATTACTCCATCTGCCCTGCGACAGATGAGCACTTTTGTTAGGGACACGGTATTTCAGTAGTGTAAATTAGTAAGTTATTAATAATATATTATGATATTATTTTATTATTTTTTATATGAATAATGTTGTTGGTATTTTAAATATTTTTAAGATTATATTTTAATAAAATATATGTAATATAGATATCATTTTATAAATAATAAAATTTTATATAATACAAATAAAAATATATATATATTTATTTATTTATAATTAACTTAAAAATAATTTTTTAAAAATGACAAGTTTTAAATATAGATAGAAATATTTGTTTATTGAACAGAGATAGAAAGAGATTTTGAGTGAGTCCTATGTGAAGTTAAAATTTAATTAAATTAATTTATATTTGTTAAGTATATATAAGATGAATAAATTTACTAAAAATGGTAATCTGAACGGATAAAAAAGAAAAATAAAGATAATATTATTTAACTGATTTCAACCGATTCCTCAATTTTCTCCAAATTTTCTCCAAATTTTTCTCTAAATTTTAACTCCACTCCAAGGTATTCGTGTTTTTTTTTTTTTTTTTTTCCTCTAAAAAGAATATTATGTTCCTTATCTTTAAACAATTACATAAATTTTATTCAACTTTATTTATTTACATATTAACCCCAATCGTTTTTCAATAAATACAAATACCATATCAACAATTTTTAAAATAATAATAATAATAATAATAATAATAATAATAATAATAATAATAATAATTTACTTAATTTGATTTTATGTGAAATATTTTATGACTTGAAAAATAAATAAAATAAAAAATATGATAAAATGACAATTATATTAAAAATTTATTTGTACTTTTATTTTATTTTAATGCTCTAATAGCATTATATTGGGTTATAATAAAATATATATTTATAAGTATTATGTAATATAAAAATAATAAGCGTTTGTATAATATATTATAAGTTATAATAATATTTATCATATTAAGTAAGTAGTACAATTAATATATTAGAAAATGACATCCTTATTTTGAGATTGACATAAATGAAAAATAAAACTCTTCTTATATAATTGAATGAATATTTTAATTGTAATATGTAGTTAAAAGTAATTTAAAGATAACTTTGCCCTTACTTTCTTATATAAAAATTTGGAAGTATTTGTTAAAAATATATATATATTTTTAAAATATTCACTTTATAATCGAACAAACCCAAGTATTCCCAGAGCATCACCGCAGCTCTATTCGCATCCAGATTCGTTTTCAATGTCTTTTCTACGCAACACAGGACTTTGTTCTTTCTCTAATTTTTTTTAATACACTTAATACATTCATTATTTTTATATTATCTACAAAATTCTCTCATCAGAAAATTTATTTTCCAACAATCTTACAAAATAATCATACCGTCAAAGTTCTCTCCAAAAATATAGTACTCCTGTATTCCTTAACAATCTATCTATTTTTTTATTTTACTTCGTCCCATAACAAAATATATATATATATTTTTTTTTAAGTAAATATACTATCTAACTAATATTACAAATATTCTTTTAATTTACAATATATTACACAAATGTAACAAATCATACAATACTAATAAAATTAATTTGGTCTTTTTACTTTTATTTCTATTATATCCCAATATAATACTAATATGTAAGAATCAAAACTTATATATAGATATGGGAGGGAGGTCTCTCTATACAAAACATCAAATCCAAATAGCTATTCCATCCCAAAACCAAAGCACAAGCACAAATAGCACAAAGCCCCCATAAAACCATCAATCAAAACACAAGCAAATGGATCCCAAATTCAAATTCAAATTTTTACTATTCCCGAAACTGAGTAGAACCACCAAACATGGGCTAGGCTATCCAAAATGGCAAACGTTTGAAATCCTTTCCATTTCGACATTTTTGGTTCCAATTCTTTGAAAACAACACATCATAAACTTCATCTTCATCTCCATCTTCATCTTCATGCCAATGCTAAAGTTTCTTAAATTACTAAGGACTTCTTCATACTCAAGGTGAAGACACAAATCCACACCAAAATACAACACCCAAGAGAAAGAAGGAAGTTCCTATATACACATAACCATTTCAACAAGAACAACATAACGAAAATCGACAAAGAAGAAGAGATTATACCTTCGGCGCAGCGAAAATTATCGCGATACGATACTCTAAGAACATATAGCAAGCTTCCCCATACATTCATCATCCACGCCATCATCCACGCCGTAGTCAAGGCTAATTTCGCGCATAGGTGGGATATTCTCCAAAGCAAAGAGCATAAGCCGGGGGAAATACACGTTGTTGTGGTCGTAAAGCACGAGCTGCCCGAAAACGTTGGGGCTCGAACTTTGGCTAATGTAGCAAGCTACATTCCTCAATTTCGCCACATCCAAGGCAAAATCCAGCGGAGGAGCCAATGGAAACGACGGATAAATATAGTCATCAAACACATCGGACAAATCGCCCCACTCTTTCCACCGATGCGAAAACCGGCCGGGATGAACGAAACTATCTCCGTTCATTATCAGTATTTGAACTTTGTCCTGCGTTAGAACCACTCCGGAATACTCGCAAATAAATGATCCGGCCGGGATCAAATTCAGCGATCTTACACCCCACCCGGTCTCTCTCGACCTAAATACCTCAAAACGATATCTAATCCCTTTCTGCGTCACCCGATTCCTACAAGTAGGAGGACAACGACAATGCGGCCCGCACTCAAATATCAACGGTTTCCCTCTCAAAAGTATTCCATTCGCATCGTAAGGTGGACTACCTCCGTTTCTCGCTATACACGAGCAATTACTAAAGCAACCCCCGACACACTCGCAGCCACCACCCGGACTAGCATACACATTAGGGGGAAATAAGGCAGCCGGGAGATATTCATAATCAAGAGGGCCGCGATCTTCATCAATGTCGTTGAATACAAATATCGGCATATTTTCTTTTCCGCACGATAAATCCAATGATATATAGCCTATGGGCCTTAATTCAATCGGCCGAGATCTTAATTTCTCGGCGAATTTCATCACGACACTCCCCATTTCGAGCTGATTCTCGATCCTCTCAAGCTTAAACTTGTATACACCAAATCCCGATTTTCCTAAATCGAGCCAAGTCTGCGCAACTCTATACAATCCATCGTATACATAGATCCGGCCGCTAACGCTGCCTTGATATTTAAATCCTCGAATCACTCGAATCTCGACGCCGTAATGCATACTTCTTTCCAGCCCTAAATTGCCGCTCTCCAATTTCTGGTCGACTACCTGCCGGCCTTTCGCATCCTGACCGCCATGGCCGGTGTAGATTATAACTTCACCGGAGTCTTCGTCATCTTCGTAGCCGCCAGAGACGATAATGCTGGTAGCGATCGGCTCGCGAGTAGAGCTTAAACTAGCCGGAACGTAATCAATTCCGGCTTGAAGCTGGCCGTGCAATCCGACGACGCACAATTCGATTCGGAAAAAGAAAACGTCACCGACGGAGACACCGGGGATGTCGCCGACGATTCGTTTCTCGCGGTACATCCAGAGGCCGGTTTGCCGCAAGATGGAGGCCGCACGCAAATCGCCCCGCGTGCGGCGGGGAGGTTGGGCTAGGGGAGACAACACTGGCGCTGCTGCAGCGGCGTCGCGGTGGTTGTCGTCCTCCCAGACATAGAAGACGCGGAGGGAATCGAAGAGCATACGCGTCTTCCGGACGGAGTCGCGGTAGTAGCGGTCGTCCTCTGGTTTGAGATCCGTCACGCGGACGAGCTCTCCCGACCGCTGAGTGTACTTGCGGCCGCCGCCGCGGCCGCGCGGGGCGATTAACGAGGTTTCAGGCGCGTGGGGGTCGGGGACGGGGACTATAGCGCGAGAATCGGGATCGGAATCGGGGAGGACCGCGATGTCGCCGTACTTCTGCAGGCGTTGGGCGAAGTTGGAGCGGCAGAGATCGGAAAGGTTGCCGTAATCGGACAATAAATCGACGTCGGAGCTGGAGTTAGGGTTCCCTGACGACGGCGGCGGCGGCGATGGAGGTTCGTCCAAGGGCTCAAGCTTGGGTTCGATTCTTGGAAATAGATCGGCGGCGGCGGTTGCGGCGGCGGCGGTTGCGGCGGCGGCGAAGTAGAGGTTGGGGTCTGTGAAATGTACTCCATTGTCGGAATTCATTTGGGAATTTTGGTTAGAAAATGTAAAAGAGAGAAAGAGGTTAAAAATGGAGGCAAGAAAGAAAAAGAAAAGGAATTTAGGTGAAATTGGCGTCGAAAATTACAATGAGGAAAGAGTGGTTGGAGAAAGAGTGAGAGTGAGAAGTTTGATTTGAGAGAAACTGTAGATTAATTGGAAATTGTTTTGTCTACTATTTATTTCGTTCCAAAATAACAGTGATAATTAGAATTTGAACAAAAATTAAAGAATATTAGTATTATATTATTATCTGTATATTAAAATAATTTTAAAAAATTGAAATATTTATTTTATATGATTATTATGAAAAAATGAAAATATTTTTTAAAAAATATGAAAAATTATTTATAAAAAATAGAAATAAAATTATTTTAGTATAAAAAAAATTGTAAAATAAAATTATTATTTTCAAACAAAAATATATATATATATTTGCTTATGGGTTTTGTATTGACGTTTAAATAAAAATTAAAAGTTTAATACTATTTTAATATACTTTTTAGATCGAACCAAATTTATTCCATTTATTTTACACCCAGCATATTTTTAAGTAAATAAGTATGATACGATGAATTATATTAAAAATATATAATACTATTCATCAAAATGTATGTTTATTTAATCGAGCATACATTTTAAGAAAATTAGAGTAAAGAAAAAATAAATAAATAGTTTTTTTTTTTTTTACAAAAGAATGTAAATAAATTTAAATGACAAAATGTATGACATATGAAGTATTATTTTAAATTTAATACTCTCTCTTGTAAAACAAAGTATTCATTTTTTCATTTTAGTTCGTCTCATAATAAAATATTCATTTTTTTTAGTAGCTGTATTATTTATCTAATATTACAAATATCCTTACAACTTGCAATATATTACACAAATGTCATTATCTTTATATCACACAATATTTTAGTAATTTCCATTTTATTTATACTAAATCATAATATAATATTAATATTTTTAAAATTCCGTGAAAAAAAAACATACGAATATCTAATTATGGAACGGATGAAATTTTTGATTTTTTTACTTTTGAACGGTAATTAAAAAGAAAAAATTAAAAGAAAATCTTATAGACGAAGGTAATATAAAACTTTTTAAAAGTATACGTAAATTGGATGTTTGATTTGTATTTAAAATATAAATGAAAATCTTCAATTTCATAAAAATATATAAATTGGGTTTATTCACTTTTAAGATAAATTGTGTTTAAAGCTCGATATAAAGAATTATACTGATAATATAAAAAATATATATATTTTTTGTCTTAAAAGAATTTTTATATATTATATTATGATAATAGATATTGTATTTTTAAGATAATGTTTTTAAAGAATTGTGCTTGTGATAAACACAATGAGAAGTTGTGAACAAACCATAATTGTTTTTCTTTTTTAAAGTATTTTGTCCATTCAACTAGAAATTATACATATTTTTATTTTGGGATCTCTAATTACAAAGTAAATATTTTATTTAATACCTTATTTTTTCACAAAAATCCAGTCTTTACATCACATAATTACTTTTACACCAAAAAAATAAAAGCAAAAAAATCATTACACTACTTTTAACTACCCACTATAATTAAAATAATATTATTTATTAAACACCGCGCCAATTTAAATATTTACTTTGTGGTGGACAGAGGGAGTATAATATTACTTTATTTGTTATCCAAATTTATTTTTATTTATTTTTTAGATTGTCATCTAAATTTTTTTAATAAGAAAATACTACTTTTTTTTTCTTGACTTAAAAAAGAAAATATTTCTATTTTTATATATTTTCTCTAAATGTGTGCCAAGTCAAATGAAATTACATTTTGATGACGGAATAATCTTTTTGTCAGCTTTGAATATATCATTTATTGTTTTACATGTTGATATTATAATATTAATTATTATATGAAATATAATACAAATTATGAAAAATAGTAAAATTATTTTTATTAGTATTGTATAATATTATTATAATAATATTTATACGAAAAGTTATACAAATATAAGACGATTTTTAATATTAAAAAAACTTAAATAAAAAATTAAATTTTAAATTAAAATCAAACAAATTTTATTTTGAATTTTAAATAGTGAATAATAGATTTTCAGTTGAGTCGGCAGCACCGCAGTCAACAAACTATTCCCTTGGTCCCACGTAATTTGTTCGTATTTTTTATTTTTATCCATCCCACATAATCTGTTATTTTTTTTTTAGAAAATTAATTATACTTTAAATTTTATTTAATTTTAATTAAATTATTTAATTATTTTAATCTTAATTTATAATTATTTTTAATATACTTTTTAATTACTTACTAATTATACTTTACTTAAATTATGGTATCTACAGTAGTATGTCCATCTCATATTGGACGATGAAGTAATATAAATCATTTAATCTGATTTTATTCGGTCAACAATCAATCATAATGATTCTCAATATATAATATATTATATTTTTTAAAAAAAATATATATAATATTGAATACAAAATAGTATTTTTTATATACTGATATAATTTTTATATTTTGTATAATTAATATTTTCAAAATTAAAATTTAATTCTGATTTAAATTTGAATTTGAATTTGAATAGTAAAATAGAATATTTGTTATTAAAAAAAAAAACCACGAGGAATGTATTATTTTATAGATTTGAATTTTTTGTTTAGAATTTAAAAATAAAAATTTGATATTTATTTGATATTTTTAAAAAAACGTATTTGTTAAATAATAAAATTCTAACTAGAAACCCTAAAAAACAAAAAAAAATATATATTCTTTTGGAATTTTTCACATAATTTTTATTATTAATTTATTTATTTAATATTAAATTAAATTAAATAATTATTTTTTATATTATTTAAAAAATAAATTTTATATTACCAATATTTATTCATATTATATTAAATAACTATTTTATTTCAAATATTTATTATTTAAAAATTCAAATTCCACGCAAACACATTTCTCATCAAGTTTGTAGTAAATTTCATCCGACGGTCGTTATTCCTCTTCTAGAATATTCTTCTCAAATACCGCGATAGTTTGCGAACGGGTTTTCCAAGATCTTATTAAATATGGGTATGTTTGCGTTGGTTCGCGTTCAATTAACTGGTAGTTCTGTTTTCAGCCTTTTTCAGTAAAAATTAAAAAGTCAAAAAGAAATATATACTTCCTCAGTCGCGTGGAAGGTTACCGTTTACTTTTTGCACGTAAATTTTTTAATATTAATATTATAATATATTGTAGTAAAAAGACGAAAATGCCCATATTAGTATTGTGTAATATAAAAGTAATGACATTTGTTTAATATAATATAAGTTGAAAGGGTATTTATTATTTTAGGTAGATAGTACAATTACTAAATTAAAAAATAATAACTTTATTTTAGAACGAACGAAAATGAAAAATGACAACCAAAGAGTATGACATTTTTTTTACTATTTTTTATTACACATTTTTCTAAAAAAATTCAGACACTATATATTTATTATTTTTATATTATTTTACACAATTTTCTATAATTCACCTTAAAAATATATATTTTTTTAACAATTTTATAAAACAAAGACACCCAGTGTATTGTTGGCTCTTCTGCATCCCACATCCGTTGTGGGATTGAGGTGGGGGAAGAATTTTCCTATAAATTCACCTCTGCCCTTATTTGTTTGATTTATTCGGCAACACAATCTTCGAATTTTAATTGTATTGTATTTCTTATCTTCTCTCATAATATAAGTATGAGGATGTAGGCATGATTTTGTCAAATCTCGTTAAATTTGGAAATTCTGTCAAAAAGACTATAAAAGGTCTAAGGAAATTGGGTTTTAAGTGAGTTTCGTATCTCCTCTGATTAATTGGGAAACCTGTTTTTCTGGTATCAGAGCAATCTGATCTTCCATATCATAAAAAATTAATTGCTCTTTCACATCAGAAAAGCGTCTCGGTTAAGCTGTCTGGCGGAAAAATCCGGTAAAAAATCAACTTCATATTCAAAGTTGTTGGTGACGTCGTCATCAAGAACGATGGTCACAAATGCCAAATTCGACGTCGAAGGCAATGCGAGGTGTTGGACATCTTGTTCCAACAAGAGTTGGACGGAGCGCTTCGCAGAGAACAATGCGAGGTGTTGGACATCTTGTTCCAACAAGAGTTGGACGGAGCGCCTCGCAGAGAACAAACCCGTCTGACGTGTGCTACAATCCGGCTATGTCTCTCCAAGGAGCAGAAGTATCCAGTTATGAGAGAGACGATGGGCACAAATTATGGAATGAATTGGGGGACAAATTCATGAAAAATAGTACATAAAATAAGCTCTACATGAAGACGAAGTTGTATCACTTCTAGTATTTGTCATGTACCACTATGAACGAACACATAACTAGATTTGATTCTCTAGTTATCGATTCGCTGAATTTGGATGAGAAGATAAATGAAATTGATAAGGCGTTGATACTGCTAGCTTCACTTCATCATGAATATGAACGTATAATTGTTAGCATGTTGACTGGAAAAGAAACAATTTCTTTTAAGGAAGTTACTACTGCTTTGTATTTTAACAAGATCATAGGAAAAAATAAGTTAGAACACAAGAGTTCGACTGATGAAGTCCATTTTGTCCAGGGTCGTAACCAAAAATACAAACCGGCGAGAAGAGACAGATCCCAGCCAAGAGGCAGAATAGCAAAAAATGAATGTGTCTTTTGCCATGAGAAAGGACACTGGAAGAAAGACTGTCCCAAGCTACAAAAGAAAAAGAGAAAAATAGTAGCTAAATCAGATTATTCATTAGCATGTGTCTCATTGGTGACCTGCAGTGACGACTGACTGCTGAACTCAGGATGCTCATTTCACATGTGTTCCAAGAAGGAGTGGTTTGTCAATTTTGAAAACATTGATGGCGGAATTGTCTATCTAGCTGACAATCAACCTTACCAGATAATTAGAGTTGATTCGGTTTATCTGAAATGAATAATTTTTTATTATGAAAAGCACCATAATTAAAAAAAATAATAATAAAATCGGTACAATAAGTGATTTTTGTTAGAATTTTTTTATTTGTTACTATGTAGAAATCTATTACTTTTACAATATTTTCTACAAAGATAATTACCTGTAA